TGCTTTTATTTATGTAAAACCTTTATCCCGAAAGGAAACAAAAATCAGTTTGAGTTTGGCTGCAAGTTGTTAGTGTATTAAAATCTGATAGTACATTTAACGCACACATTAACAATGATACTGTCCAAAGGTGCCCCCTGTGCTCATTCATCCACAGTGGGGGCACTGTAACACAGGAGGTGTGTTACTGGCCAGATCACCAGGTGAAAACAGAGCGAAAAAAAACTAAAAAAAAAAGAAAAAAAACCGAGGCAGGCACCATATCTAATGATTGGTAAGCTGCAATATATAAAATGTTTGATTTTGGGTTTAATACCAAGTTAATAATGCTAAATTCTAGTTTTAGAAAAATGGTAAATTAATTCCAATTGCAACTAAAAGCTACTCGCACATGCTAAAAGTGTGACAACAGATTCCAATCAGTAAGTTTAAGCGCTCCTCTGACAGATGCTCCCTTGTCCTAATATGATATTTTGCTTTCTATAAAACCTCTTTGTGGCACCTTGCTAGCGGCCTCTTCAGGATTTCTGGAGAATGTGCACCAGGGTAGAAGTAGACTTTATTGTGATTTATAGGTAGTTCATTCGTGAACTTGTTTAACCTCCCTAGCGGTATGATTATTTCAGATTTTTGTGCTGAAAGCGGTACATTTTTTTGCATGGAAATATGTATTTTTTTTATTGTAGGCTGTAATTTTTAGGAAAACTCACTGAAATCTGTCCGAACAAGAGTCTAGTAAACATCCCGGGTATGATAAAATTTGAAACACATAAATCATAAAAATTATAAAAATAATAAAAAATTTAAATAATCATAAAAAATAATAATATAATAATAAATTATTTAAATATAATCAAACCAAAAACACTGAAATGTGAAATAGAGCGCCAAGTTCGCACATTGCTGAGCAGTCGCAAAATCGTTTTCAGTGTCTGATGACAATTTCCCCCACGATATAATCACTCAATTCTGCAAGTGGTTCTGATTTACTATCGCTGTTCTCTAGCTGATCTAAACCGCTTTTGACCTAAAGGGACACTTTTTGGACGCCATGGAACTAGTTTCCAGCAGAAAGAACAAGACAAAATGCAGGCAGGGCAGGACAAAGCACTAGGGACAATATGTATGTGAAATTGTTGAGACAGCAATGTTTTACAGTAAAATGTAAAAAAAAAAAAAAGACATTTTTTAATTTTTAAATTTCCCCCGCCGGCGGCTGCGGCGCCCGTACGTCCCGACGTCACAGGGACAGGACACAGAAGCCGGATGCCGCATCGGCCGTAGGAGATGGCCGGGGACGCTGCAGGGGACACATCGCTGAGCGCAGGGTAAGGTAAGTGAAGAACACTTGCCGGGCAGTGCCTCAAAAGCCCGAGTGTAGCTTGGGGTTACCGCTTTTGGTACTGAAATGTTACCCCGAGGGGGAATACGCCAGGGAGGTTTTTCCCTAGGGTCTGATTATGTCGCTGTGCTCAAAGCAGTACGTTTTTTTGCCTGGAAATATGTTGTTTTTTTATTGTAGGCAGAATTTTTAGGAATAACTCACTGAAATCTGTCTGAACAAGTCTAGTAAACATCCCAGGGTATGATAAAATATGAAACACGAAATCATAAATTATAATATAATAAATAATCAAAAAATAATAATGTGAATAATAATAAATTTAATTCATAGTAATCAAACCAAAAACACTGAAATTTGAACTATGAGTCAAGTTTGAGCTTAGTGCAAAATCGTTTTCAGAGTCTGACGAATTTTGAAAATTTATCACAATTCTGCAAGGTTCCGTTCCCCCCAGTAAGAACGTAAAAATGCAGGCAGGGCACAGAAAAGCACTCGCAAAATGGTGAACGGAACCCGGAGGAGATGGAGTGAAATTTTGAATTTCACGGGTTCGCTGCAGGGTGGACATCGGGGACGCTGGGGTGGAGCGCAGGACAAGGTAAGAGCTGGAGGGATCCCTGACCAGGGTAATCCTGAGTGTAGCTCGGGGTTACCACTTCTGGTAATGAAAGTTAACCCTGAGCTACACTCAGGAATACTGCCAGGGGGTTAAGTAGCATGGACATAAAGAAAGAAAAAAAAAACTAGTGCAGTTCAGAATTTCTCTGCATTGTGGTCAGGTAAAGTGGAAGTATAGTCAAATATGCCTAAACCTACTCCCACCTCCATTCTAAACCTATTCCAACCTACACTGTAAAGGAAAAAAGTCTATACTTACCTATGCTGAGGGTCATCCAGTCCAGTCACATAATCTCTCCAGCGGTGGCTTCACTGAAGAGGACAGATCACCAACAACGATTGCATCTGTTATTGGCTGTCTCTCCTCTACAATGACGCCGATGCTGGGACCCAATCATGAGACTGGACCAGAGCAGCCTCAGAATAGGTAAGTCTACAGATCTTTTTTAGGGTAGATACAAAAGGCTTAGAATGGAGGTGGGAGCAGGTTTAGGTTTAGTTACTATTTGACTGGAATTCCACTTTTTGCAACCACAATACAGTCTGTAGACAGCAGACATATCTGAATCTACCCTAAGTTGTTGAAGAACCATGTTACCTCTAGACTCATGGTATAATATTAGGGTAGGCAGAGGTGTCATGGATGAGACTTGACTGCTTTTGTCACACATTAATAGTCTTGTAAAATTTTCATCTAAAATGTATTTTTTTAAATAACAGAGCTTTAGTGTATGTTGTGGTTATTTTGGTAACCATAAGATTGTACATTTACCTAAATAATCAACCTCCTGTCAACATCACAAGATTTTGCAGACGTTCCTATACAAGTACACACACTCTGAAAGTTAGCATTTGTATATGTTTAGGTACAACCACAGCTCCCCTACATTTTATTTTATTACAGGTATTTAGCATTGCCAATTTACGGAGCACTTTACATGTTGTACCGTCACATCAGTCCCTGCCCTCAACCTAAAGTCCCTATCTCACAAGCATACATGCTAAATTTTGTCAGGATACAGTTAACCTACCAGCATGTCCTTGCTTTGGAGTGTGGAAGGAAACCAGAGTACCAGAGGAAACACATGCAGGTACAGGAAGAACATGAAAACTCTGTGCACATATTGTCCTGTCTAGAATTTAAAGCGATTGTAAAGGCAAAAAGTTTTTTCTTTTAAAATAACAAACATGTCATACTTACCTTCTCTGTGCAGGGGATTTGCATAGAGCAGACACGATCCTCCTCTTCTCGGGTCCCCCTCAGGCGCTCCAGGTCCCTCTCTCCTGTTGAGTGGCCCCACAGCATGTGTCCGTTGACACATGGAGCTGCGGCTTGGCCCCACCCCCTCTCCCTCCTCATTGGCTCACTGGCTGTGATTGACAGCAGCGGGGGCCAATGGCTCCCACTGCTGTCTCAGCCAATGAGAAAAGGGAGTCTTGGGATAGCCGAGACTCCAGTGCACATCGCTGGATCAAGAGGGGGCTTAGGTGAGTATTAGGGAGGACTGGGGGGGGGGGATGTTGCACAAAGAAGGTTTTTTACCTTCATACATGGAATGCATGAAGGTAAAAAAAACCTCCTACCTTTACAACCACTTTAAACTGTGGACCCCTAGTGCTGCATTGCAGAAATTCCAGCCACTGTTCTGCCAAGCATAGCTGTGATTGGTGTTAGTTTTTGTGTGTGCATGTTTTTGTTTGGGGGGCATACCTACTCTACTTATACCAAAGAAGTTGAAGTCATTTGAAATATACAATGTTCCAGTGATTTTAATGACTGCGTCGGTATAAGTATGATCTGAAAACTTCAGGTATTTTATTGCTTTGTCAAAGTGGAGCTAAAGTGGAACAGGCTGACCCCTTTTGCAGGTATAACCATGTAAAACATAAAAAAATAGGTGCCTACACTATTTAAAATCCAGTAATACACTGTCTCACCCTGCTCTGCACATGCTCAGTTGCTCTCCATTTTTAGGTACTGTGCCGTATTTGTAGAGGTCGATCTGCTGAAAGTCTAAATATTAAAGCGGAACTAAACCGACCAATTTAACAGTTTCAAAAAGATAGTTACAGTTGCAAGAAAAAGTATGTGAACCCCTTGGGATTACGTGGAGTTTTGCATGAATTGGGCATAAAATGTGCTCCGAACGTCATCTAAGTCACAACAATAGAAGAACACAGTCTGCTAAACATAATACTACACAAACATTAGATGTTGCCATGGTTTAATTGCACATAACATGTAAACATTCACAGTGCAGGGAGAAAAAAGTATGTGAACCTTTGGACTTAATATCTGGTTGACCCTCCTTTGGCAGCAATAACCTCAACCAAACGTTTCCTGTAGTTGCAGATCAGACCTGCACAACGATATGGAGTAATTTTGGACCACTCCTCTTCACAAAACTGTTTCAGTGTAGCAATATTCTTGGGATGTCTGGTGTGAATCGCTCTCTTAAGGTCATGCCACAGCATTTCAATCAGGTTGAGGTCAGGACTCTGACTGGGCCACTCCAGAAGGCGTATTCTGTGCTGTTGCAGCCATTGTTTTGTTGAATTACTTGCATGCTTTGGGTCATACCAGTGTCCTGATCATCACCATACCCCAGACCAGCACCCTGATCACTGCCACACCCCATACCAGCGTCCTGATCACCACCAAACTCCAAACCAGCATTCTGTTCACCACCAAGCCAGTGTCCTGATCACAGCCATAACTTATGCTAACATCCTGATCACTACCATAACCCATACCAGCATCCTGATCATACTAGCGTCTGGCATTTTAGGGTCTCAACTGATCAATTTTCAAATATATATCTCATAGTTTGTAGATTCTAAAGCTTTCACACAGACTAAATAATATACACTTTTTTGGGTAATTTTTTACTAAGAAAATGTAGCAGATAACATTTTGGCCTAAACAAAAACTAAGCAAAAAATGATCATTTTTCAAAATATTCGATATTTTTTCATTTACATAGGAACAAATAAAAAAAACCCAGTGGTGATCAAATACTACGTATACCGTATATACATGATTTTGCATTTCTAGGTAGGGGGCTCGTGCGAGGCGTGCACACCCCCTACCTGCACCGCCACCGGTGATTACTCGTCAGCGCCTGGAGATTGCCGAGCATCTCCAAAAGGGAGAAGAACTGTTTGTAAACAAAACAGTTCTCCTCCCTGTCAGCTCATGCACACTGCTTTGGATGGCTGTGCACAGTACAGTCATGCAAAGCAGTGTGATTACAATGAAGCACAAATACACTGCCCCCTAGTAAAACACACCCAGCACACAGTTAACCCTTTGATCGCCCCTCATGTTAACCCCTTCCTGCCCAGTGCCATTACTACAGTGTCAGTGCGTTTTTTAGCACTGATCACTGTGGTGTCACTGGGGATGTCAGTGACACCAAGTCAGTTTCGCCCAGTGTCAGAATGCCCGCCGCAGTCCTGCAATCCCGCTATAAGTCGCTGATCACCGCCATTACTAGTAAAAATGTTAAAAAATTTTAAAAATTCCAGTATCTATATCGCCATTTGTAAACACTATAACTTTTATGTAAACCAATTAATTTACATGTATTGGGATTTTTTTTTAGCAAAGACATGTAGCAGAATACATTTTGGCCTAAATTTATGACGAAATTTGATTTTTAAAATTTTTTTACTGGACATGTTTAATAGCAAAAAGTCAAAAATACAGTTTTTTTCTCAAAATTGTCGGTCTTTTTTTTTAATAGCACAAAAAATAAAAAACGCAGAGTTGATCAAATACCACGAAGAGAAAACTCAATTAGTGGGGGGAAAAAAGATGTACATTTCATTTGGGTGCAGCATTGCATGACCATGCAATTGTCAGTTAGAGTAACGCAGCACCATAACGCTAAAAATGGCCTGGTCAGGAAGGGGGGTAAATCCTCAGGAGGGCAAGTGGTTGAAAACACTTTTTGAAGGTGTTTATTGCTTTTATTAAACTTTCATTTTTTAAACTTCTGGTTTTCACATAATTGCTGCACTTTTGAAAGTGGCTTAATATTTTGAAATCTATCCCACCAGCTGTCACAACCCCTCCCATTTCATAAATGATATATAATAATAAGTGCACATGATACATATAAAGTGTTAATCTCTAGCAGTAGATGCTGGCTCACCTTATTACAAAGTCATGACTGTCAATCTCCTTGCCACATCCACTGTTCAGGAGGATTCCAGAATTACCCACCACTGCGCATGTCTCAAAGCGGCGGCTCTTCATAGGTGATACTTCAGGCAAAAGACTGTGCAGATTCTGTGAAATATTTAGCGTGCGGCGTCTGTCCAGGACATAATGGATTACATCTCCTGGCTTGAAGCTACTCTTAACTACAGACACATCTCTCTCTGCATCCAGAAATCGAAGGATGTCTTTTCTGTGTGAAAGAGAAAATTAAGATTGGTATAATCAAGCATGTATTGTGTCCTACAGGTAACATCTTGCAAAGACAAAGTCTGATTATTTGCTTCAAGCAATACCGTGATTTTGGATTTCCTCCCGTTTTTGAACATCAGCTTCAATGACACCCCTACTGCAAGTTCGTATATTGTGTGCACAAATTCAAGAACAAACAAAACAAAAAAGCATAGCCTCTATTTTGCCATGCCCTCAGCAAACATTTCCACTGACCACAAACATTACAATGTTGTTGGAAGTGGATTATGATCTAACCATCAAAAGACCATCTTTTTCAGAGGATTGTTACACAAATAAGCATAAAGGCATGTGCAAAAATTCAGCTGATCAACTTTGCCCCTGTGATACATTATCTGTGTTTGTAAAATGCCATCTTGCATTGGTGGCCAATTCGAATTCCTAACCTAAACCCAATTGAAATCAATGTCAAATTAAAAATGTTCTTCTTCCATTTTCTGGGCTAACAGGCAAGGGGGTGTTAAAAAACAGAATAGGAGGGTGGGCAGCACCTAATGCAAAAAAAACTGCAGCCAGGAGCAGTGATTTTTTTTTAGCATAGACATTTACAAAGGAAAAAAAAGAATGACATCTCCCCTGCTTCTTTTTTTTTTTTAAAGAAAAATGGCACACATACCCTGAATGTCCCCCAAAATACAAAGCAGACCCTAAGGGGTTTATTTACTAAAGCTGGAGAGTCCAAAATCAGACTCCCTTCTGCATAGAAACCAATCAGCTTCCAGGTTTCATTGCCAAAGCTTCATTGAACAAGCTGAGGTTAGAAGCTGATTGGTTTCTATGCAGAAGGGAGTCTGATTTTGGACTCTCCAGCTTTAGTAAATAAACCCCTAAGAGTCTGTTATGTATTGTGGAGGAACTAAGGAGAGCTCTGTGCACACTTTTTTTTCTAACAAAGCCGGCCATGAAGTTTTCTTTGAAAGCAATTTAAACTGTAATTTTTGTCTATGTACATGTACTTTTTGCTGTAGCACATCCTACAGTAAGAATGAAAATTAAACTGTGTAGAGTCCCTGCCAAAATGCATATCAAATCCTTTGGTATAGATTTTAAAAAAAAAGTGTGAATTCCACAATAGTAACCACACAAACGACCCCGATAGCAGGGGTGCTCAACCTTTTGAAGAGCGAGGGCCACTTAAGTGATCTGGTAACTAGTCGTGGGCCACAATGAAATAAAATGGTTCAGAATTTAGATTTTTAAAAATTTTGAATAGCATAGTGAACATTTGCCTCCTGTAGCTGCTGAATGCCGGCAGGAGGGAAAGGAGGAAAAGCCTGATTTCAGCAGTTACATGAGGAACATGGAGACAATCGGTTTCTGTATATGCCGTGCCCCCCCCGTCCAAGTGTAAAACAGAATATGACAGGGAGGCTGCAAGGGCATGGGGCAAGGTTACCATTGTGACCCCTGTGGTTTGAAATGTATGGTAAAAACACATCTCAACTATGGGGTTTTACCAAACTGCAAATGTAAATGAGCCCTTACTGTCCTGAGCCCCTTATAAGGCCTCTTTTACACCGATGTGCTGTGGTTTACCTGCACCTCAGGAGCAGCACAGTGCACCTGCTGCTTTCCTGCGGCTAACCTGTGTGTTGCCATAGACTTCTATTATAGCTTGTGGTTCACTTTCTGAAAGCGTATCAAAACTCCTATATTCAGTTTGGGGTTGAGGGCCACATCAGAGGGTTCTGAGGGCCACATGTGGCCCACAGGTCACAGGTTGAGCACCCCTGCCCTATAGTAACATTTTGAAGGCTCCCCAAGCTGTCATTGGCTATATCAAGGAAAGGAGAGGGATAATGGTGACATCATTGCCCAAATATGGCCGTAGCCATTAAGATGCACTTAGCCTTGGAAAGCCATCCAATAAAGCCAAGTGCAAGCCATCTGTTATTAGTGAAAGAAAGCTGAAAGGATGAAAAGTTGAAAGACTGAAGCTGCATTGTCTGAAATGGCTAGCTGCCATAGATAAACCCAAAACATTTTAACTCCTCCTCCAAAAACAAGCCCAAAACATTGTTGGTCAGTGGCATTTTAACCCCATCCTTCCCCCATCATTGGTTGCTGGCACTTTATATCCCTCCAAAATGATCCTGCAACTTTGTTGGCCCTTTAAACCCCCTTCCCACTACCACCTTTGATTACAATATTTCTTTGCTACAGAAAGAGGATTTAATTAATGGTTAAATGTATTAAACCCTCCATTCTCCCTCTTCTCTGTTGTGAAAGTAAGAAGAGGACTCATCAGTGCAAACAGTACAACAATTTTTTCATTGGTGATCACTGTGATTGGTCATTACAGTGATCACATGGCACAGAGCAGCTCCAACTGGCTCTGTATCTTTAGCCAATACTGTTTGCTGTCTAATTACAGTGGTAGCATTAATCTTGTGCTGCTGTCAGGTGCACGCAAACTGGTAAATAAAAACATACAAGTACGTCCTCCCACCCTAGTAAACATGCCATCTGTTTGTTTAGTTAAAATGCCCGACGTCCCGACATATGGAAGTTAAAAGGTTTTTGTATAATAACAGTATGTTTGCATGTAATAGCTTACTTTTGCTCAGGCTTCCATGAGTGTGGAATTTCTATATGCTGGAATTGCAGGCACACATAAGCTCAAAGCTTTTGCAACCAAAGTAACATAGCATAAATATTTGACTGTTTATGGTCACCTTTATTGTGGGCTATTACAAAATTGTTAAAGCGTAGTGTAATTCTTAGTATTCAATATAGATCTTGGGAATCTAACATTCTCAAAGAGGGCTTTAATTTCTGTACATCTTTCTCTAGGGAGCTGAGATATGGACTGCAATAAAGAATACAAAGGAGAGATAAAAGATAACGAAAATGATATATGTGAGCAACTGGACTGAGAATAATTTAAAGCAAACTGGAGCTAGAAACTGAAAGCATTAAAACGTAATAATTTTCCCTAACTATATCAGCAAAATGTAGGTGAAATTGTTCCTAAGGAGAATATATAGGAGGTTGATATCTACAGTAGAGTATGTCAATAAAGCTATTACTTTTTTAATTTTCTGTACAACATTAAGAAATGAAATGTGAGAATACTGCCATGAAAACTAAAGAAATTCATATTTCATTATCATAATTTCCTTATTTTCTAATGTAACCCTCCCCCCCCCCCAGTTTATACCATAAAAAAGAAAAACAAAATTAAGAGGAACCACTTACCAAGGCAGACACAACCCATAAGCTATGCATATGAAGCCAAGTATGATTTACACTCAAAGCTCAAACAAGCGTCAAAGTCAACTGAGTCCCCTCCTAAGTGTTACTTTGCTGAAAGGGTCATAAGGAGTTTTTTTTAGCAAGCTTGAAAATCATTGTGTTAATACCAAGGTCTCAAAAGTGTTCATGAACACTCCATGGTGAAACTTTATACTTTCTTATTATTGATAGTGAGGCCTGAAAGGGTCACTGTAGGGTTTATTTACTAAAGCTTATTCACTCAGAATCTGGTACACTTCTGCATGGAAACCAGTCAACTTCTAGGTTTTATTGCTAAAACTTAATTGAACAAGCTGAGGTCCAATGCTGTTTGGCTACCATGCACAGGTGAACTAGATTCTGAGTGAACCAACTTTAGTAAATCTCCCCCCAGTATTCTTAAATATCCATTGGGATGCCTCTTCGGAATGCTTCAGGGTGTGTGGGCAAATGTGCACAATGTTCTAATGGACCTGTTCTAAGATCAAAGGATACTGGACAAGAATACAGTATATACAATATCTTCTGTTACCAATATCAATATTCCTAAGACTGGCTGCATGGCCCTTTTAAACAAACTGAATCCTGATATCCCTAGATGCTCATTTCACGGTTTTACCTGAAAAGTATCCTTTGTTGAAGTCTAGAAATCATCCATAGTTGATAATATTACAACTAAAGATACAATTTCCTGGATTTTGCTTCACAAAAAACCTGACAAGCATTTTACACATTAAATAGAAGAAGGGTGAGAGATTCTGGAATCCATGAACATACTATATACAGTCTCCCACT